TATACCAGCGGTAACAGCAATAACAATACGGTCTTCAAATTGTTTGGAAAACGTACAAAACAACACCAGAGAATGAATGTTGTTCTGTATTTCATGGTCCCCCATCAACTTTAGAAATGGCCAGTCTTCTAAGCCAAACTTGAACCTCCCTCCAGCCCAGGATCGACCCTGGGGAGACTGGGGTGATGGTGACCATGTGTCTTTCTACTAACCATCTCACTGATGGACCCCACCACTGGGTAAAATACACGCCCCTCCCCTCCTCCTCCTCTCCCTGTGGCTGAACCCTAAACCCCCTTAACCCTTTCCTAAACCCCCTGCTGGCCCCCTGTTGAGCGTGCTCATTGGCTGACCGCCTTCAGGCGTCCCTTTTCCACAGGCCCATTGTCTGGCCCCCATAAGCAGCTTTGTTTCTGCGTGTGCAGCTGGGCTAGCCCGCTCAGCCATTAGCCGCAACACGCGAAAGAGAGAGCGGGATAATATAATTACAAAACAAAAGTCAGGTGGCTCACGAGATGTGCCAGGAGAAGCCCATTTGAGGGAGATGCGAGGACACGCTGGCGGGTGGCCAGCTATAATTTGATTATGAAGTTGTGTGAGTGACAAAAGAAACAATTGAATCTTTTTTTTTCTCCCCCTTTTATTTGCCCCACTGTGATTTAATTTGATTCCACTGGGGCTTAAAAAAGAGGGCAGAGTGAAAAGAGAGGAGATTTACTCTTCTAATTTCCAGAGCCACCAGCAAAGAAAATGTAATATGGTCTGACAAAATAGCAAGAGAAATTCTTCCCTGGGCGAACTTTATTGTCATGTTGCTGCAGCACTTTGACTACATGTGAGGCCTAAATCAGATGAATTGCTGAAGGCTGAGTTTTCCTGCGGACTGACTGGTCTTGTGCTCTTGTTTTGCATGAATGCACACAGACTGGTGGACAATGGGATCAGTGGCAGATCCACCTCCTGTAATACTTTCTTTAAACAGGGCAGCAAGTGTGTCCCCCCTGTTCTGTCGGCAGACCAGAATTTATCCCGTTAGTCACCCTAGATGAGTGAAAAAGTAAAATCAACCCCCATACCAGCTGGACACACACATACACATCCATTTATAAAGGCAGAAACGCACAAGCACACACACACACACACACACACACACACACACACACACACACACACACACACACACACACACACATTCTTAACCCCACACACTGGGGAGTTATACACACTGGCAGCTTTATGGACAGCTGATAAGAACAGGTTTAGCTGGTGGTTACTGTTCAGAGCAGGTCAAGCAGAACAAGATCTGTTAATGTCTCTTTGTTTCTATAGTTCATACTGCAAAAGACTGCATTTTGTTTTCTGTTTTTTTGTTTTGCTCTTACATAAGACAATAAGCAATTGTGTCAAGTGTGCACACGCTCTTTTGACTGAACGGTTAGTGTCAGCGTTGTGCCCGCTCACGGTGTGTAAACGCCCATTTTTTGCCCCATTAGGCACAGCTTGATCGTGCCCCTGGGAGATCGCCACATTCTCATGCTCCGAGAGACTTCTCTGAAAGGTTTCACTGCAGATTAATTGCTGGTTTACAGTTTTGTTTATGCAACTAGATAATCAGAAAGAAACCATCATTAGGAGATAAAGTATTTTTTTATTTATTGCTCTGTATTGTTTTAATACAGGAGGGAAGGTTGTGACAAATTTACATCACATTACATCTTTCAATTCGGGAACTTGAACTTAAATGCTACTATTGGGAAAATGATTTCAAAACAATTATATAATGAGTGCAATGAAACACTTGCAGGCAGCTCTGCAATTTGTTTATTGTTTAGGGGGAAATGTCAGTCCTTAAGGGGATGCGGGATAGGCCGAGCCAATGAACTTCTTCCCATCTCCATAGGAGGAATTATCCCAGGTGTAAGTCTGAATAATGAGCGTTTTCCCTCCCACACTTAGATGACACCTAAGGATGATGATAGACAGCAGAAATGAGAACAGATCCACGTTCAATAAGGCGTCACAGGATGTGAACATTTACTCACTGTTTTCCAGGACGAGTGATGTAGCAGAGGCTGTAAATGGCAAAGTCAAATTCCGGGCTGCAGCCAATGACCGCAGAGCCAACCTGCTTGTAGTAGCCGTCCCACATGAACTGCATCCCCAAGACATCAGGAAATGTAGTCCACTGAAGCAAGAAAGAAAAAAATGAATGCAGCGCCCTTTGTAAATTAAAAGAGTATTTTAGGATTTTTATCATCAGTGCTTACAGGCCCATTGAAGCTGTGGCTGTAGTAGTTTAGCTTTCCACCTTTTTCAAGAAGATAAAACCGGATCCAGTTGTGGAAACCGGAAACCTTTCCTCCCTTGATCTCTCCTGTTAGAGAATGTGGTTTTAAAATAGTACAAAAAAGAGAATATCTTTTCAAATAAATAAGATGTTCAAAAAGAAATCTGCTCTGTCCAAACCTGCAAAGATGTGCTCAAAGCCGCTGGAGTCCAGCTGGTTGTTGTTGCGAGAGTACAGACCAAACCACATCATCTTCAGGTCCTGAATGAAGTCTTCCTCTGATTTGTAAATGCCTTAAGATATAAACACAGACATTGAAAACACACGAGGATAACCGTACCTGACCTTCAAGTATTGCTGAGGATGCGTGAAGGTGAAATATCATGCATAGAAATGTTTTACCCTTGTTGTAGAGAAAAGCAAACAGCTCCCGTCCCAGCTGAGTGTTGGACATAGTTTCCCTGACAAACTTGTCCTGCTCAGCCAGCTGCTGAGAGCTGAAGTTCTCTGCCTGTCCAGTCATCCTGTTGTAGTTGTCCAGCACAGACAGCAGAGCAGCGTAGGTGGGCTTGGAAAAGAGAGCATTCTCATTCAGGTAGCTGAACAAGCTGAAAGCAGAAAAAAAAAGATTTAGGACATAGAAAAACTGCTATGTAGCGAGAGATTGCTGTGCTGATAAAACGGCTTTTCTCACGGCTTTGAGGAGCGATCTGTCTCAGAGCTGGTCTGAGAGTCGGCCACCAAAGCCTGAGGGTCAATGACCAAGTCTGAGGCTGAAGCCTTGTTTGAGTCCAGAGAATAAAGTCTCTCAGAGATAGACTTGATCTCTGCATCAGTTACGG